GCTGCACCCCATCCCGAGGGTGACCCCAAGCCGAAGGGCAGTGGGGGCAGGGGCAGCAGGACAGCTACCCAGCTACAACAGCACTGGTGGCAGACACCTCTCGGGGGTAGGCAGCAGGGACATTTCTTGGGGGCAGGGGACAGCTGTCGTCTGCAGTAGCATTGGCAGCAGGTAAATGTCTGGGCGTGAGGAGAGCGTAGTGGTGATATATCTGTGGGTGGGCAGGGTGGACACCTCTGGGGCAGGGAGCAGCTCTTCAGCTGCACGGGCATTAGCAGCAGGTGCCTGGCTTTGTGCTGGCGGAGGATGCTGGCGTAGGGAGTACTGGGAGTTAGATCAGGGCACAGGAGGAGGCTAGCTTAACACTTCAACTTGTGGGAACAGGGCGTAAGGGGAGGGGATGAGTTTGGGCATTCAGCTCACGCCTTGGCCTGTCCTGTCTCTCTCCTCTGCTCCATGGAGACGCCAACGTCAAGCGGTACCTGCAGCTGACAGAGTCCCAGCTCAGCACCTACCACCAGAAGGAGAAGCAGCTCTACATGGGGATGTTCAGCTAGCGAAATCAAGGCTCCCCCAACCAGATACCACCAGGGCCACATGGATGCACCCCCCTTTCCTGGACAGAACTCCAGGGCCATGTGGATGCACCCCCCTTCCCTGGACAGACTGCCAGGCCACAGGGACACCCCCACTAACATAACACCAGGGTAACGGGGATATGTCTGGCTTTCCATTGATGGCCTAGGACCCATGAGGTCACTTGGGACCTGGATTGCTAGAGAGGAAACCTCAGGCTGGTGGCTAGGACCTGCTTGGACTGCTCCCGTTTCTCTTGTCTGAGGACCAGTGTCCTCTCTGTTGCTCCCAAGGGCCTGGGCATTCCCAGAGTCACAACTGCACAGGCTCAACCACCCCATGGTTGTGGGGCCACAGGCAGGGAACGTGGGCTGGATCATTAGCTGTGTCACCCTGCTGGCCCTCTTCATAAAGTGACCTGTCTCCCTGCACTGTGTGTGTGTCTGTCCCTTCCCTGCCTGGGCTCTCCTTCAGAGGGAGCACTTGGGGAGCAGGGGGCTGTTTCAGGGACGTTAACCCCCTGCTCTGCTGCTATTGGTCTCATTTCCATAGTGATCGTAGCTGGGTCATTTTTATCCGAAGGCGTCTGAGCTGAGCCTGGCATCCTGAGCCACATGACCTCACCCCACCTGGGACCCTGGCCCCCTCTGGCCCTTACAAACAAGTAATTTCCAAAAGAAACAGAGGGTCCTGTGGCACCTTTGAGACTAACAGAAGTATTGGGAGCATAAGCTTTCGTGGGTAAGAACCTCACTTGTTCAGATGCAAGAAGTGAGGTTCTTACCCACGAAAGCTT